CAGAGTCATTCACGCAAACACTAAACACCAGCATGATAACACACACGACACTTAAATAATGCAATAAACATTCATTAAACAACAGAAGATTAAACATAAACCCACATCTACATAACCGATAACAAACATGACAAAACTATTAAAAAACATGATTATTTAAACAAAATACTTTCAAATGTGTCACGCAGGGAATTCTGGGAATATCAGTTTACAGTTTTTGTACTGTAAATTATACGTTAATTTGTTCTTTTTGTACTTCTAAAAATTGTACAGTTAACAGCATTTTACTGTAAAATTACATGAAATGTCTGGTTAGACCTTTTACAGTTTTTCCCTGTATATAGTAAGGAAACTTACTGTTAACCTAAGTTTTTTTTTTTTTTCGTTGCGTTTTTACAATATTTTACAGTTAAAATTACACTCATTTTTTACAGTGCATTTAATAATCTAGGTTCATTTAAAATTATACATATACTATTATTCATTGTTAATTCATGTTTGTTCATAATGCATTAGCTAATATATTTATTTAGTATAGCTAATGTTAACATGTACAACCTTATTGTAACGTGTTACCTTAAGTCTAAAATGATAGGAACACATTGTGGTTGTGAAGTATTAAATTACTGCCACAGTTTTAAATAAAAATGTAATTTAAAATGGATAGTTCTGAGAAAACTGTATTGAATGCCTTTCGTTTCTGTTAAGGCATGCAGACATTTCTGATAGATGAAGTTTTGAATAGCTTTGGTGTAAAAGATCGCATTTGCAATTTGTAACAGACTCACATCACTGAGCGGTGTGAATAGGACTTACACTTTTACTGCCTCGGTTCTTTGGCGTTGCTACTGTTGTTACTTTCTCTCTCTTCTGTCTTATACTCATTCTTCCCCAATTCCACAATCTCAAGAAGCTCAGTATCTCTTCATCGGTGATTACAGTATGGCTCAGAGCAGATTCTAGTGCAAAAGCCTGTGTCATCTCTCATTAAATTCCTCTTTCCGTTCCACTGCATGCCTTCAGATTATTTCAAGATGTGAACAAACAGCTTTTTCTGCTCGCCACCACAGATGTGTGCTAATATTTTCAAAGCGCTCGATTAGAGAGCTAGTCAGAAAAAAAAGGAATGGTTTTCTCATCCCAATCACCAAGTAATCACATACAAATTGCAGCCTTACGGAGGTGATAATTTCTTTAATAGTATACGCATGATACAAACACATTCAAACGGTACAGAGAGCAGAAATACATCTTTAATGTGTTTGCTTGAACACATACACGCGTTCGTGTCAGCAAACTGCCTTCTAATGTGTCGTGCAGAGGTCACTAATTAGTGAACTGCAGTCCAGATTATGACCCAAGACTAGTTCCATTCGGACTGCAAATTATGTATCATAAATATATATATATATATATATATATATATACAAACATAGCAGTTTTTATGTTCTCCCCACAGAGAAATATAGAATCTGCATTTTACAATGTATTTACATGTGAATCATTATACAAAACAGTGAATCTTGTTCACAGCAGACTGAAAGCATGAGCTGCATAGAGACGCTATATACTGTATATATATATATAAGTATGTATGTATATGTGTGTGTGTCTATATATATATATATATATATATATATATATATGTGTGTGTGTGTGAGTGTGTGTGTGTCCAAGATGGTGAGAAATAAGATTCTCTGGTCTGATGAGACCAAGATAGAACTTTTTGGCCTTAATTCTAAGCGGTATGTGTGGAGAAAACCAGGCACCTGTCCAATACAGTCCCAACAGTGAAGCATGGTGGTGGCAGCATCATGCTGTGGGGGTGTTTTTCAGTTGCAGGGACAGGACGACTGGTTGCAATCGAGGGAAAGATGAATGTGGCCAAGTACAGGGATATCCTGGACTAAAACCTTCTCCAGAGTGCTCAGGACCTCAGACTGGAACTAAGGTTTACCTTCCAACAAGACAATGACCCTAAGCACACAGCTAAAATAACGAAGGAGTGGCTTCACAACAACTCTGTGACTGTTCTTGAATGGCCCAGCCAGAGCCCTGACTTAAACCCAATTGAGCATCTCTGGAGAGACCTAAAAATGGCTGTCCACCAACGTTTACCATCCAACCTGGCAGAACTGGAGAGGATCTGCAAGGAGGAATGGCAGAGGATCGCCAAATCCAGGTGTGAAAAACTTGTTGGATCTTTCCCAAAAAGACTCATGGCTGTATTAGATCAAAAGGGTGCTTCTACTAAATACTGAGCAAAGGGTCTGAATACTTAGGACCGTGTGATATTTCAGTTTTTCTTTTTTAATAAATCTGCAAAAATGTCAACAATTCTGTGTTTTTCTGTCAATATGGGGTGCTGTGTGTACATTAATGAGGAAAAAAAAATAACTTAAATGATTTTAGCAAATGGCTGCAATATAACAAAGAGTGAAAAATTTAAGGGGGTCTGAATACTTTCCGTACCCACTGTATATATATACACACACACACACACAAATTACAAATTATTCTTTAATAATTGTTCTGGCTGTGCAGCAGTGCACATTGCTTATTAGTGCTGTTCAATTCCAAAACTTTTGGAAATTAATTGGAATCTGGGTTTTGGAAATTATGATTTATGTTTTCAGTTCTTATTCCAAAAAAAAAAAAAAAAATTGTGTCTCTCTACAAATACTGGAAATAAAAAAAGATCATTGTTTCTAAATTAAAAATTTCATGTTTTTACTCAATTTTGTATAAATAAATAACACATTTTAATTAAATTGGTAGTGTCAAATACAATAATAAACAGTCAGATTTAGAAAAAAAATTAAGCAAGACAATACACATATATAACCATAACTATGCAAATAACAGTCAAGTTACTACAGCGCTATTGCTAGAAATTTAGACAGTGTTTTATGATAACATGATAAAGAGCATAAATATTATATTGTGTAATATGTATATATTATATGTTATTAGTTTCCCAAACTAACAAGTTTAGATATGGATTGTCTGCCTTTTAGAATTTCAAATCAGACCAAAAAAAAAACAAGTAATGCAATTTGCTAGTTAACACTAGACTTTCTGGAGTGAACTGATTTATCAAGGTTAAGGCTGCTTCACACAGAACATGGTTTTGCATTCCACTGTGCTGAAGTTAAACTTTTAAGAATGTCTAAGAGCTTTTCCGATTTTAATAGTTTCTCTATTAGAAGAGAGTTCCTGGAGTGGAATCAGTTTCAACCTTTGGAATTGACTCTCGATTCCCAATACCTCAGAATTAAAGAATCAGTTCATGTAGAATTGATTCTATAGTGGATTCTGTACTTGGGATGGGTCACGATTTTCGAATATGGTTTTCGTTCATGTAACTAGAGGGTGGCGCTGCAAATAACGCACCTAAAAGCCGTCAAAGACAACAAAAGAGCACATTGTCTCGTGCAGCACAGCAAAAATAGACTCGGTGCGGAAACGATCGCTGCACTGCTGCAGACGCACCGCTCCTGGAACGCACTGCCGGACCGCAACCGCTTGCAGTGTGAACGCTCTAAATCCGTTAACAAAATCCGTTGAAGACGGGAGCGCAATCTGTTCACAATTAGTCCTGCCGTAGAGAACACGCCAACTCCGTTTGCACAATGCGCATGCGTTGCGTATTTTTTCTGCACCTGAGCCCGGTCTCATGAAAATGCATATAAATAGTACGCCAAATAAAAAAACGAAAACTCGTGGTATTGATACGCAAAAATGGACTTTGGCGTGTATAGGCTACGCACGTGTTTGGCGTGCATATAATACGCAGATTTTGTGTGCATATGATACGAAATTTATTGGCGTGCATATGACGTAGTTTTCGCGTACATATGATACGCATCTACTCCACAAATCGGGTTGGTAGCCTATACATGTGTGCGTGCGTGCGGGGAAGGGGTGCGATTTTCGAATAATAATCTAATAATTCTTATCGACCATCGGATGTTATTTTTGCTTGAAATGCCCATCCCTATTCTGTATGCACCAATATATGACCGAATCTCTCAGTCTGATTCTTAAAGGGATAGTTCACCCAAAATTTTTTTTTTCTTGAGTGAGCTGTTCCTTTTATGAATGCGGATTTGTGTAAAACTGCTTTGACTGTTTGAATTGTTGCGCAGCAGGCATTTATGAGGCAGATACTGATGTTAGTGGCCTATTTTTCTATTACACAGACTGCGTGTAAAGGCATGCAGCCCCATAAAGCGTGTTAATGCCTGTCTTTTATGAGCCTACCCTGTTAAAGACCCAATAAAAGACATTACACATGTAACATGCGGAGAATAGGGAAGGCTGCCGTTTATACTTCTATATAGGAGAGATAGAATTCAAGTCTGGTTTAAAAGAGTTCATCCGATTAAAATTCTCTCATCATTTATTTGCCCTCATTATTATTATTCATTACTTTTTACAAACTCAAGGTCACTTTACAAGTTACAAATATACTACTGTCAAAAGCTTAGGGTAAATTATTTGTTTTTTATGAATTTTCTACTTTTATTTAGCAGCAGTACATTAAGTTGATCACAAGTGACAGTAAAGACATTTATGTTATCAATGTTACAAAGTATGTTTATTTCAAATAAAAGCTGAACTTTCTATTCATTAAAGAACCCTGGGGAAAAAAGTATCACAGTTTGTACACAAATATTAATATTATAAGCATCACAGCTGTTTTTCAACATTGAAAATAAGAAATATTTCCAGAGCACCAAATCGGCATATTAAAATTATTTCAGAAGAATTATGTGATGCTGAAGATTGGAGTAATGACTGCTTTGCATCACAGGAATAAATTACATTTTAAAATATATTCAAATAGAAAAACACTATTTTAATAATAATAATAATGTTTCACAGTATTACTGTTTTACTTTATTTTTGACCAAATAAATAGTGATGTCTTTCAAGAGCATTTCTTACGAACTTTTCACAAAAATATATTTTGAAGAACTTAAAAAAAAAAAGGCTATCAATGTCTTAAGAGGACTTGGAATATAGTGTTTATATTACACATTTATACTATTTTCATAGTACTTTTTTTTTTTTACTATGAACTGCTATTTTGTAAAAAAAAAAAAAAAAAAAAAAAAAAAAAAAGAGCATGATTAAGATTCTTCAAAATTTCTCTTTTTTTATTCCATTAAAAAAATTATTTTAAAAAACTGCATACAGGTTTGAAACAACATGAGGGCGAGTAAATAATGACAGCATTTTTATTTTTAGATGGCACTGCAGCAGTGAGGTTCAGGCGCGTGAGCTCCATGTGCTGATAGCTCCAGCGTCCTGGCTGTGTGTTCCAGTGATATACGGGGCGTCCCGCTGGTTCACTGCACTGAAGCGTGTAACGACCTAAAACCCTGCTGTTTGAGTGACAGCCGGCTGCCGTTAGCTGTCCATCTCACATCTAACAGCACTTCCCTCTATTTGTTTCCACTGTTGCCCATCCTAACATGTCCATCTCTGTTGTTTCTATTTTTTCTTTTCTTTTTTTTATGAAGGAAGTGCATAGCGTCTGCCAGGGTTTCTAATGTCTGTGTGTCTTGTTAGATGAACGATATCATCGGCACTATAAGAGAGTCAAACCTGAAGCTGACCCTGGCGTTTGGGATCGGGATGCATCACGCGGGACTTCACGAGCGAGACAGGAAGACAGTGGAAGAGCTCTTTGTCAACTGTAAGATCCAGGTGAGACCTGCTGTTAGGTGATGTGTGATTCACCAGCAGATCAACCTTTTTCCGCGCTGATCCCCAAAGCATTTTGGAAGAAATTGAATATATGAACTATTTTTGGGTAAATAGCTGTCAGCTGAGAGATTGTAAAAGAATCATAAATATACTCATGGAGAACTTTTGTTGGCATTTTTGAGTGATGAGAGATGAATTGATTTATTCAAATCCAAACCAAATCCAAATGAAACGTTCTTTTTAATGCAGCTTGCTGTTCTCGTGGGTTTATGTCTTCAGAGGCCTGGCTGTAAAATGTTGATATAATGCAAATGTGATATTTCACAGATCAGTATGATAGCGATTTAGCATGTGAAGCACATCTGAAGTTCAGTTAACAGAGGCACTCCACGGATAGAAGAAGTCTCTTATGCTCATGCATTTATTTGATCAAATATTGCGAATTGCGGTTTAAAATAACTGTTTTCTCTTTGATTATATTTAAAATGTAATTTATTCCTGTGAGGCAAAGCTGAAATTGTAGCATCATTACTTCAGTCTTCAGTGTCACATAATCCTTCAGAAGTCATTCTGAAAAACAGGAATCAGGAGTTTTGAAAAACAGGAATCATGATCTGGCCTGTGATATGATTATTAAACTTCAGAAGGCTCTGATGGACTGACCTGTTGCAAGAAGGAAAGAATAAAACAATATTTAACACACTGACACAACACATAGATTTTACTAGAGTTGGCACATTAATCTGTTCATTGCCTGTCTTTAAACATATTGTATATATTACAAATGATCATATTAGCAAAATACCACATTTGTCAACCTCTAATTCATATGTATTGATATATTAGTGCATAAACAAATTTATATTTATATGTACGGTATATATTAAGTAAAACATGTCTTGTGTATTTTAATAATTTTAGAATTGTATTTCTTTTTAATTACGTAAAAAAATTGTATGGGTTTGTTCTGTGTGGTTATACAGTATTAATTTGCATAGTATCATACAGTATTTTATTTGTTCAGGGTCTGAAAAGGTCTTAAAAGTCTTTAATTTATTATATCAAAAAATTATAAAAGTATGAATTCCTTAAGAAAAGAAAGAAATCTTACTGACCCCAAACTTTTGAACTATAGTGTGTTTTTGGCCATGAAAACTTTCCTTTAAAATCTTCAGTGCCGTCACAGAAATAGGTCTGATTTCTTACAGTAACTGAGGGGCCGTTTACACGACAACGTTTTCATCCAAAAACGGGAAACTTTTTATGCGTTTTGACTGTTCGTTTACACGACAATTATATTATACAACGCATATTATATAACGTATACACCCAATACGGGAATCTTTGAAAACGGTGACGTCATGCGCGTGCGTAGTACGTGTTAGGTATGTAGACCTGCGCAGTACGTGTCGATTTTAAAGGCAAGCGTGAACAAACGTACACAACAATGGCGGAGTACATGGTACTGTTGTTGCTGCTCAAGAGTTTGCTAACGCTTCTTCAGCAAAGTGTGGATTTACTTCACCAATATTACAACCAACAGCGGAGACGCATCATATACAACATATAATCTTCACTTCCCTACAGGTACTGTTTACTAACAAGGTGACAGCGCCAACTACTGGCCTAGCAGTTTTTACTGTATTACGTATACAGTGTTTTTGGCCGTTTTCGCGGATATGTGTAAACGCGAATCGTTTTGAAAATGTTGTCTTGTATACGTAAAACTTTTTAAAAATGCAAGGGAAAAACTTTTCCATTTTTGACTACATCGTTGTCGTGTAAACGTAGCCTAATTCAGTGGTATTATGAATTAGGTATATAAGTATCATAAGATATATGAATTACATGAGATAAATTGTAAAACAGCTACAACCCTACAAACAAAATAAGGTGAAATAACATTGAGATAAGATTTGACCCTACATATTCCTTTGACTTCTCTCTAAGGTGTTAATTGCAACCAGCACACTAGCGTGGGGCGTCAACTTCCCTGCTCACCTGGTGATCGTGAAGGGCACAGAATACTATGACGGAAAAACCCGCCGCTACGTGGATTACCCCATAACAGGTAACATCTGTTTTTATATGTGTGTGTTTGTGTTTTCGCTGGCTGACTGTCCAATTTCATTGATCTCTATCATTTCCGTTCCAGATGTTCTTCAGATGATGGGTCGAGCAGGGCGACCGCAGTTTGATGACCAGGGCAAGGCTGTTATCCTTGTGCTCGACATCAAGAAGGACTTCTATAAGAAGTTCTTGTACGAGCCGTTCCCTGTGGAGTCTAGGTGTGTACAAAGCAATGAATCTTCCTGATTCGTGTTAGTACTCTAAGTGACTGTGTGATAATGACAGAAGTGGTGTCTTTCCTGTGTATCGTCAGTCTTCTGACCGTGCTCTCCGACCACTTGAATGCAGAAATCGCAGCAGGCACAGTCACCTCAAAACAAGATGCCATGGATTATATCACCTGGACGTACTTCTTCCGCAGGCTGGTCATGAACCCAAGGTACCGCATGTCGTGCATCACTCACAACATTCACTGTCTCACCCCGGGTGAAGATCCTAGTTTTGAGTCTCATCAGTGATGTCATATGGCTAGGATACTTAGTTGTAGTGGTCAACTGATACATAGAAAGCAGGATGGCCATCATTGCTAAGATTAGAGATGGCCATGTCCCATTTGGCACACATGGTGTTCATGAAGATAGTTTTTGCTTTCATGAAGATTTAGACTGCATTAGGTATCATAAATTAACAATGAACAATATGGACTTTTATTAATCTAGCTGTCATAAATCATTGCATGCTGTCCCAACGATAACCAATTAGACCTCAAAGAACCATCCAAAACGGCAGCATAAATCTGAAAAAAAAGTGGTTATTATATATATTTTTTTTAATCTACCATCATCTAGATTAAATATAATATACAATCATTATTTTTTATCATTGCTGTCACTTACAAGTACTCTGGTAGATTATGTATTTTTAATGGTTGCACTTTATTTTACGGTGTCCTTGTTACAGTGTAATTATACATTTAAGTACTGAGTAATAATAGTTAACTACTTGTACTTACTATATGATAAGGGTTGGGTATAGGGTTAGTTGCATTTAATTATGCATAATTTATAGTGCTGTCAAATCGATTAATCACGATTAATCGCATCCAAAATAAAAGTTTGTTTTAACATAATAAATGTGTGTGAACTGTGTATATTTATATGTATATAAAAATATACACAATTGCAATTAATCGCAATTAATTTATTTAATGTGTAACAAGGACACAGTAAAATAAAGTGTTTAATCTGTGTCATTTTATTACTTTGGCTATAAAAAGCTTTCAATGTTTTCACAAGCTTTCACAAAAAAACATTATCCTAGATTAATAATGGTGTAGGAGATTTTTAGTTCATAATACCTAATGCATTTATATATATATATATATTTAACATAATAAATGTGTGTGAACTGTGTATATTTATATGTATATAAAAATATACACAATTGCATATTTAAAAAATATATGTAATATTTATTTATATTTATGTATAATAGAAATCATATATAAATATGAATATATATATATATATATATATATATATACAGCACACGCTCTAGAGGTTGCAGTATATGGCTCTTCAGATGAACAAATAGAAAATAGTCTGGCTCAATAACTTAAATAAACAAACAATGTAAATTCAAGGAAATTTAGAATTATGTTTTATTAATTGGCCTAGTGGGAAATCCAAGCTGTTGGGTGAAACCGCAGTGACTAAACTGCAGCAAAAGACAGAAAAACATCTTCAACTGCTTTCACATGGCTCATTACTTACTGTGTTTCCATGGCAACGTCATCGCTGGACACAGTGGCCACAGTCCAGCCCCAACAGTTTACACCTCCATCACAAAACAAGGGCTAAAAGATCACACACACACACACACACCAGCCTCGCAGGGTCATATAGGGCAGCACAGACATCTGTGATGAATAGAAGAAGATGATTCCAGAACATTCCACTGACATTTGCACGCCTGTCAGGCCACATTAAACATAAAGACCTGTCTGTGCCCTCTCCCTTACTGCAAACACCCACAACCCAAAAACACACGCTGATTCCTCAACCACTCTAATGACTAAGGTAATCAAACTCTTTATATGGGCCATATTCTACACTTTTTCATTTATATTTTTCCCCCTGAAGTCCACTTATAATTTTAGCCAACAGCCATGATTGCGTTTTTCATGTCTATTTTTACACCCTTCTCTCTTACCTTACAATTAAACAAATTGTTTTTGCAACCGTACCTTTAAGATTATGTAAATTATATGCCAATTACTGCCAGCCTTGTTGCTAAATAGTGAACCAGGTGTTTGTGTAAATGTGGGCAGTTATATGCTAATTGATGTGATGTCATCATCGCACGGGAGTTTGTTTGGTTGGTCTGTTTTTAGTACTTCAGCAAGAAAGTTTAGTTAAATCATGTGATTTCACCGTGTTTGTTGTAGGGCTGGACAATAATTCAATATCAATATGTATCGCGATATAATTTTTGTATTTTCGATTCCTATTCAGAGTGTCTGCTGGTCTTTAAAAGTCTTAATTTCACTTTTCCACAAATTAAGATCTTAAAAGGTCTTAAATTCAAGAACGTCTTAAAGTCATAAACTCATGGCATTAGATGTTGCTTGCATTGCAAAAAATGATTATCATCTTCAGTTTTGTTGTTTTCCATCACAAATTTCGAAAGATCCTTAAATTAGAGATGCAAAATGAAGAAATAAACTCGTTTTCTGAAAAATTAAACAAGTTTTAGTGAGTTTATGCTTAAAACAAGAACAAATATCTGTAAATGTGGTAGGAAACGTAGTTTTCCCTTTGAATTAAAGGGTTAGTTCACCCAAAAATGAAAATTCGGCTGCGTTTTACTCACCCCTGAGGCATCCTAGGTGTATATGACTTTCTTCTTTCAGACGAATCCAGTCGGAGTTATATTAAAAATTGTCTTTGACAAAAACGCATCGATTCGCTACAGAAGGCCTTTGTTCACCCCCCGGAGCCGTGTGAGACACTTTTTTTTATGGATGGGCGATTTTTATTTAAGTTCTTTTGGACTGAAGCAATGCAACACCCGCTGAGTGGCATTAAACAGCTTGAAAGATCAAAGACAATTTTTAATATAACTCAGACTGGATTCGTCTGAAAGAAGAAAGTCATATACACCTAGGATGCCTCGGGGGTGAGTAAAACACAGCCTAATTTTCATTTTTGGGTGAACTAACCCTTTAAGTAGATTTTTCAGAGCCCATTGGAAGATATTTGTCTCTGTTTTAGTTATAAACTCCGTTCATTTTTGTTCAGTTTCAAGAAAACAAGACTTCTTATCTTATGTCGTTTTGCTTTCCAACTAAATGTTACCTTGATTTAAGATTCTTAAGACATTTGCACTGGAAAACCAGAATACTAGTGACAAACACATCACTTTTTTGCATTGAGATCAGAAGGTGCAATTCATATTTATATTTAAATATAGATATTTATATTTTCTAGTGCTTGGATGCAGAGTTATTCAAACCAGGAGTTTTTTTTGTTCTTCTTCTTCTTTTGGAAAAATGAATTAAAACGTAATGGAGATTAGTAGAAAGTTGTATTTTCAAACTTTGAAGTGTTGCTTATATAACTTAATGTGTGCTTCTTAGGCATTACAATTGCAGAACATATAGACGTATTGTGTTCCCTTCAATTTATTTCTTACATTTTCTTTGCTTGGTCATAAAAAGGTCTTTAAAAAGTCTTCAATTTAAAGACATTTAAAGAAAAGATGCAAAAGCCCTGCTGTTAGAATGTTGTGTAATTGAATAATGATAAAATGTGAGGGATGATGTCCATGGAGAGCATTTGATTTTGCATGCTGCCGTGGCGCAGCAACTCACTAGGTTTTGTTCTTTACATAAAATAACTCAGAAACAACACAACAGCATGTTTCCAGTAAAGGTTGTATGTTAATAATAGGGCACACTAGCTCTATTTGGCACAGCTCCATCAATCTCTGTGGCTCTGTGGCACAGTCACCTTGACACCAGCCATCTCTCATCAGCCGTGATTGACTGGAGCTGAGCGGCTCCATAAGCAGACAGGAGCCCCAGAGGTCTCATAACGACCTCACATCAGGCTCCCTGAGACAGCAGCTAAATGATGCTAACGCTAATGGCAGCGATTTATTCAGCCATATAGGTATTCACTACAGCACACATACAACAGGCTGAAAAATTGGCTCTGCAGAATGATGCTATTTTTCACTTATAATGCTTTAATACTAATCTTAATCATTTAGTACTGTCATTCAAAATTTAAAAGAGGTCTTGATCTTGTAGAATTAAAGAATTTTATCTACTATGGAATGTTTTAAGTTATCTGTCCATTATGCCCTTTGACATTTTAAACACTTTTGTTCTTTATTTACTCATGCAGGCTACATATTAGTACCTTAATGTGAACCAAAGGTTTAGGTTAGGTTATACACCTAAAGTTAAATTTATTGTTCTACAAATGTATATATGATTAAACAAACCTGACATTAGCATTAATGTCTAAACTTATTATAAATGCTGAAATGTAATAATTTAATGTATCTGTTTATCACAAGCATGTTTAATTGTGAATATACGCTACTGTTCAAATGTTTGGGGTCAGTAAGTTTGTTTTGAAAGAAATTAATACTTTTATTTAGCAAGAATGCATATCAGAAGTGATAGTAAAGACTTTTACATTGTTACAAAAAAAAAAAAACATTGAGTTTCAGATAAATGCTGGGGTTTTTTTCAACTCATCAAAGAATCCTGGGGGAAAATGTATCACGGTTTCTACAAAAATTTTAAGAAGTGCAACGGTTTTCAACATTGGTGATAATAAGAATGTTTCTTGAGCAGCAAATCAGCATATTAGAATGATTTCTGGAGGATCATGTGACCTGAAGACTGGAGTAATGATGCTGAAATCACAGGAATAAATTAATTAGAAAAATCTTAATAAACTTTTTGAACAGTAGTGTATGTGTATTATGAGAATGATTGGAAATTTCAGTTTTTCATTTCATATAACCAGGCAAGTCACTTAAAAAAAAATTATAATTTACAGCATCAGTCTGCCAATACATACTGTACTTTAATATACATAATGTGATTTATAACAAATAAAAAAATTTATTTAAATTAGGGATGTTCATTTCGGTTATTTTTCCTAACCGATGCTCGTTAACCGATTGTAAACCGTTAAACGACAAGATTTATTATTATTATTAAGAATTAGAATTGAATTAAAGTAGAAAGGATAAGTGTCTGTGACCCATTAAAAAATACTAACATTTGTTTCCCGGGGATTAATTTTACATGCGCAAAAAGCAGCAAACGACAGAACATGAGGATTCACATGGTCATCATATCACATCACGCACCTGCAGCGCTTCTGCTAGCGGAGAAAAACATAATAAACTAGGCTAAGT